TCTACAGAATTGCAACTCCGTTTATGCAATTTCCTTTAGGGTTATCCATACACTGTCATCTGCGCGTATAAAGCCTCCTTAAAGAGGTCCCAGGATCCCAGGAAGCAGTGACCCTCATTTCTTTTCCATTCCTCTCCCTCCCTGCCTCCGTCCCCCCAGGAAAGCTCTCCACTCCCACCCTCTGCCCCCAGCGCTGCGATTTAGCGCGATGACGACTGAATTCCGATCACCTGGCAAAACTTGAAAGCTTTCACCGCCAACCCCCCTCCTCCCAGTCTTGCCTAAGACTTTGGTTTCATTCAAACAAACAAAACAAATAAAACACCACTGGATTTCCTTTCTTAGTACACTAACTACTTACATAGTATTTAATAGAGCCTGTGCAAGTCCGCAGGCTACATGAAGACTTAACCCCTTCATTCCTACTTCCAAGTGAATTACTCCAAGTCGAAATCAACAAATAGTAGAAAGAACATGTCTAGCAAAAAGAGGACAAAAAGATTAATCTAAGGCAAGTAAACACCTAAATCCACTAATTACTACAGAGTAGTCAGTAAGGTGACCTTAGCAGGGAAAAGCACAAGCAAGCAGCAGCAAGTAACACGGCGTGGCGAGGGGACCTTAAACTGCAGCAACCCCATTTCTGTCACTTTTTCAGCCCTGGTTACTTATGGCTGGGAAAGGGCCGAGCAAACGCCCAGCAGGAGTAGGACGGCTGGGCCCGGGAGGGTCAAGTGCCTGGTGGGCGGTGTAACCGAGTCCGCTGTAATCCCCTTCGGACACTTTCAAGGTGACAGCCAGAGCCGCCTCTGTCCCTTCCGCAGGACCAGCGCTGACCCCACGTGAGACCTGCCTCCGCCCCGCCGGCGCCGCCTCCCCCCGTCTCCCCGACTCGGGCACCCCCGGCCCCGGAATACCCGCCCCCTCCCCGAAAGCGAGTGCAGTCGGCGCGACGGTCGCGTGCAGCGCGCCCTCCCTCCGAGCCGGCCGCCGGGCACGGGGAAGCGACCCGACCCGGCACTTACCGCAGCGCCTCCGAGCCAAGCCCGAGCCCCGAGCAGCAGAGACCGGAACCCGCGTGGAGCCCGGCGCCCTCTGGACCCTCGGCGGGGCGCTCCTGGCCCAGCCCGGCAGGCCCGCGCGGCAGCGTCCGCACCTGGGGGCGCGCGCCTCGGCCCCACCCCGACCCCGCGGCTGCCGGGCGGGAACCCCGAGTCCCGGCGCCCCCGCTCCCCGCCTCCCGGGCCGCCAGGGGGTGGAGCGGGGCGGGGAGTTCGGGAAACTTGTAAATAGAAAGCTGGCGGCCTCAGCAGCCCCCCCGCACCCGCGGCGGCCCCTTCGCAGCAGGCGGCGAGCACGGGGGCTGCGCCCCGAGAAACTTGAAAGACGCGCGAGGCGGTACCTCGGGACGCCGCCGGGGAGTCTCCGCAGCGCTGCGCTCCGCCGGGCTCGGCAGGTTGGCGGGCCCCGCCCGCCCGCTCCGTGCTCTCGCGCTCCAGTGTCCCAATCCCGAAGCCCCGCGCGCTCCCGGGCGAAGTGCGGACGCGCCCCACGCCCGGGCGTCCCCCAGGCCCGCGCTGCACCTGTTGCCACGTGCGACGCGGTGCCCCGGGCTGCTGCCGGCGCACCTGGCTGAACCCAGCGTCCCCGCGGGCGACCGGAGCTCTGCTGCGCCTAATGCTGGCGCCCCGGGCCAGGCGGGCTAGCCTGAGGATCGGCCTCCCAGTCCCCTCTCGCCACCTGTGCGCCCCCGCCCAGCCCTTCGGCCTGCTTGGGCCGGTGGGGCCATCGCGCCGCGGGCGGGTGCGAGGTGGGAAGGCTGCAGAATTATCAGGGTGGAGGCTTGCAAGGAACCAGCAACGATTGACTCTTACAGGGTCCGACTCCCAATCTACACTATCTTCATGCCTTCCAGAAGTTTACCAGCAAGCAGCTATTTAAGGTTAAAGAAATGAGCACTCCAGCTGTTACAGCTTCAGATAAAGAGTTGAAAGACTAGAACACCAGAGAGGAAGAGAGAGAGACTAGGCCCGACCCACTTTTCTCTAAACACAAACTAAGTCCTTGCTTTTTGCTGAACTGAGCAAATGTCATCCACAGCTGACTTTCAGGCCCATAAGATCCTTTCTTCCATAAGGCACATTTTTGATACAAAGCTCTGCCAAAGGTGACATCCTGCCTATGAGAGATGTAACATTACAGAACCATCCAATGTCACACAACCTAGGAACAAAATTTTTAATTTTTTTTTATTACCTGATTTGGGTTTGCTAGAAGCTTTTTAAGAAAAGTAAGCTTTTTCTGAAAGTAAATTTGAGGATGCTGTTTTTAGTTTTCTATAGCCTGAATATTAGATACACTGACAGATGTATTGTCACTTACAGTTATAAAGCCTTTTCACGTGTACAGTGATCCCTTATTTCCTCACAAGACCCAGGAGTATATAGGTCACATTATCTCCATTATTCAAGTAAGGAACTTGAAGCTCAGAGAGGTCAAGTGACTTGCACAAGGTCACACAGCTAGTGAAGGGCAAGTGTAAACCCAGAAGGCCTCCCTCCTAACCTTCTTTTCTCATTCCATTACATAATGACACCTCTCACTTGCTTTTGAAATCCCTGTTGTAAAGACAGACATGTAACCGACATGAGC